AGGAGAACATCTGCAAGTTCGCGAAGAAGGGGCTATCGCCGTCACAGATCGGCGTGATCCTCAGGGACTCTCACGGTATTGCTCAGGTGAAGAGCGTGACGGGGAACAAGATTCTGCGGATTCTGAAAGCCAGCGGAATGGCGCCGGAGATCCCCGAGGATCTTTACCACATGATAAAGAAGGCTGTGGCTGTTCGCAAGCATCTGGAGAGGAACAGGAAGGATAAGGATTCTAAGTTCAGGTTGATTCTGGTGGAGAGCAGGATTCACAGGCTCGCCCGCTACTACAAGAGCACCAAGAAGCTCCCTCCCGTCTGGAAATAGTGAGTTTTTACTTTCTCTGCATCCCATTGTTCCCCACTTTTCAGAATCTATCTTCAACTTTGCAATGACAGAAATGTTGCCCTTGTGTTGTATTGAGAATTGCGATTTGATTTTCCCGCCTCGATATAAAGGAGTGAAGGCATGTGACGCATTTAGCGAGTTTTGTTATGGGTTGGTGAGTTGATCATTTGGACATGGAGGGTTCTTCCATGGAGTTATTTAGGAAGATATTGTGCATAAAAGTTCTCTTTTTGAGTTGAAGAACCAGAATCTCGATCTCCTTTTGCCTCTACTATGGCTAACTACTTAGAATTTGTAGCATAAAAAAACCAGAGCTAAATCTGGGCTATAAGCTGTCTCTCTAATCTGGTTGGATAAGACCCTAAGTATTGATGAACCATATCATTTAGACATGGACGGTTCAATTATTTAGTCAGATATTGTGCATGAAAGTTCTCTTTTTGAATCGAAAAACCAGAATCTCGATCTCCTTTCTCTTTTTTGTAGCATAATAATGGGAGCTAAAAGAGGGCTACAAGCTGCCTCTCTAATCTGGTTCGATAAGACCCTAAGTATTGATGAACCATATCAATGAGCTGTGTTTTTGGCTGCTCTACTTCTGTAATGTGTTATTTAGATGGCTAATCATCATCTGGTACTTGATATTTTCAATCAGATGAAATCTCTGGTGAATCTGTTAATAGAAACGCCTGATTTACATGACTTGCATTGCTGATATTTATTTTATTTCGATGCAGCGAGTCTACTACAGCAAGTACTCTGGTTGCTTAGGGTTTTAAGACAAGGACAGCTGGGTAGAGGAGTGGACGGAGGGTTTTGTTGCAAATGGAATCTGTTGCTGACAACCATGAGAGACCTTGTAGTCGGTTTCTCGAGGTTTTGGGGATCAGTGCTTGGACAAGTGCATTGACTTGCTGTTCCTCAGTTACTACATGCATCTTGTTTTCCTTTCTTGTATGGTGGGGATTTCTCTCCAACAATTATAGCTACTTTGAGATTCCTTTTGTGTTGCAATGACTTGAGAATTCTGTAAGTTAATGAAATATTAAGAATAGAGTTGTCTGGCATTATGCATTTATGGTTATGCTGTGAAGATATGTTGTACAAGGTAACCTGTAAGCTTTTTTTTTTTTTTTGCCATAGGTATCCCAAAAGGGAGACGACGAGATACGAGTTCATAAGGACCTTTGCAAGTCGAATCATAAAACAGAGGAAAGGTAGGAACGTTGGTCGACCATAAGGTGATCCAACGATAAGAGGGCTTGTTTTGCCACGAGATGGGCAGCCCTATTATACCTACGAGGTGCGAAGTGGAACGAGACACGCTGAAGAGAGGAGCGAAGGGTCTGGACCTCGGATAAGAGGGCACCACCCAGAGCGTGCGACGTATCCTTCGCGTTGACCATCCGTATGATCACCTGCGCATCACCACAGAAGCTTACATTAGTAATGGAATGAGATAAACACCATCGGAGAGCATCTCTCAGAGCTATAAGTTCAATGAGGAAGGGGTCACTTATAAAATCATAGAAACGCCCAAAAGCAAAGACCACTGATTGATTTCCGGAGAATCCAACAAAACCAATAGCTCCACCCACTGAAGCCTTGGTAGCTCCGTCAAAGTGGACAAGTGTAGCTCCGGATGGGACGGTTGGTGGTCCTGGGTTCCGGTTCATAGGGGGAATAGGAGAACTACGACGGGATTGGGCAGCGACTTCTTGGGCGGAAGTCCATTCAGCAACTTGGGATTCCATCTGGCGAAACATTGTTGAAGGAAGAAATTGGGTGTTGTCGTAAGCTGTCGAACATCGGGATTTCCAGATCCGCCAATACAGGAATACTAGTCGGGTGATGGTAGCCACAGGAATACCTGCATCAAAGAAAAACCACCTCCAACCAATAGCTATATGGCAATGAGCAACCTGCACACGCAAATAAGTTAGACCCACCAATTCCCATAGTTCCACCGCTACTCTGCAATGGAGAAAGGTATGCAGAAGAGTCTCGTGGCCCGTAGAGCAAATGGGACATATAATTGCCTCTACATCATCATCATCAATAATCTTTTTATCACGCAGAACATCTTTCAAAGGAAGAAAACCTTGGATTAGTCTCCACATGAAGAAACGTAATTTGGGAGGAACCGGGAGAGCCCAAAGGAATTTCCAAGATTGGGGATCAAACACAATGGGGATGGTAGAACAATCTCGAATAAACTCTTCAGAGGCTATCTTATATCCAGATTTCACTGTATACATACCTGATTTTTCATAGTGCCACACAAGTCGGTCTTGTACCGGGAAAATAGGGAGTGGAATACTTCGGATAGTCTGAACTGTAGTTGCATCAAATAGTGAGAGGAGAAGTTGTACCTTCCAGGAGCCAGAAGAGTGGTCGATGAGGCAAGATACGTGTGGAGAAGGAGGAGACACATGTGGCAATAGCTTCGGGGATGAGGGAGGGGTAGTCGGGAGCCAAATATCTTCAGTAATATGAACTGAAATTCCTGATCCAATCGACCATCGAAGTCCTTTGAGCAAGAGACTTCGCCCTGTAAGGATTCCTTGCCATGCCCAAGACGGACGATTTCCTTGTGGAGCGTGCAAAAATGAAGAATAAGGGAAGTAACGACCTTTGTAAGTAGAAGCTAGTAGGCTCTCCGAATTTTGCAGAATTCGCCACGCCTGTTTTGCTAGTAGGGCAACATTGTTGCTATCTAAATCACGAAACCCAAGCCCTCCTACCATCTTTGGCCGACATAGAGCTCTCCAAGAAGTCCATTTCATCCCACTCTCACGATCCTGTTGCGCCCACCAAAAACGTGCCAAATGGCCATTCAGCCGCCTACAAAAGAGGGAAGGAAATCGAAAGCTAGACATGGCATATATAGGAGAGGCAAAAGCCACAGACTTGAGGACTATTTCTTTAGCTGCTAGTGACATGGACTGTGATTTCCAATTCTGTAACCGATGTAACATTTTATCTTCTATATATTGAAATGTATGCTGCTTGGAGCGGGCTAAACGAACAGGTAGGCCGAGATAACGATCATCTTCACCACTTGCAGATACTCCTAAAATTGTCATTATCTCCTGCGCTTCTCTACTCGAGACATTTGCACTGAACAAGGCTGTTGATTTTTGAAGATTAACCTTTTGTCCACTAACTTGCTGATATGTGGAGAGTAAAGCGAGTAGATTTTGGCATTCAGGAATAGATGCGCGGAGGAAGAGGTAAGAATCATCTGCAAAAAAGAGATGAGAGACTACCGGGCAACGCCTATGTATCTTGAGGCCATGAAGAAAATTACTTTGCACTGCTTGGTTTAATAACGTCGAGAAAGCCTCGGTATAAATGGCATATAGAAGAGGGGATAAGGGATCTCCCTGGCGTAAGCCACGTTGCGGATGAAAGTATCCATGGGGAGAGCCGTTGACTAGGACCGAGAAGGAGACAGTTGTAACACACTCCCAAACCCATTTTAGCCATTGATCTGTAAAACCAAGTCGCTTCATTACAGCAAATAAGAACTCCCATTCAACTCGATCGTATGCTTTTTCCATGTCAAGTTTGAGCGCCATCCACTTTTCTTGTCCCTGTGATTTAGTTTTAAGAAATTGTATTACTTCCTGAGCAAGTAGGACGTTGTCTGAAATCAGTCTACCCTTAACAAAACCATTCTGGTAGGGTCCTATGACATGGGGTAGGACTTCTTTAAGTCTTGTTGTTAGGATTTTTGAAATGATCTTATAAGGAACCTGGCATAGGCTAATAGGGCGCATCTGCTGCATGGTTTCCGCATTGGGGACCTTGGGGATCAGGGTCACCCAAGTATGATTCAAATTGGGGAGGAGGTGGCTTGTACGGAAGAATTCCAAGACAGCAGCAGTAACCTGTAAGCTTTGGATGAGATGTAGAATACACAAATCTCTTTATTTATTCCTGACCCTAATCGTTATGGCCTTCATATCACTACCAGCATGAGAGGTGGCACCAAAACCATTACTCGAGTTCTGATTAACGAGAGTTTCATTTGGAAGATGGGTTCGGGAAGGTTCGTCTATGGATGAATTACTGGTAATCCTTGTTTTCTCTGTGATTCCTACAAATTCGAAAAGCCTACAACCAATCATCTCTTACTCACGTTCGTGTTATCTCAGTAGCAATCGAGCAACTAACTGCTCACCACATTATTGGAGGTGCAACTCCCAAGTCTCCTTTTTTTTTTTTGTGCAGAAGACAACTTTTGTAGTTGATGTTCTCAAAGAGTTCATATTTTGACAGTCTGCTGTCGCTTGATGATATTGATATCCAATGGTTAGTATTCTAACGGACGAGGTTGTGACTTGCACCCAGCTTCTTGAGAAGAATAAAACAATGTAAAGACTAATAGTTTCAACCAGCCTACTTGTAAAAGCAGTTCAGAATCGTACACTATACAATGGTGATGGTCTGCTCGGAATCTCATGGTAACCATGAACCTAACTGAAAAATTATGAAAGAACCTTCGAACGCCAAATTTTACAACAATGCCAGACATGGGCAATCATTGGTGATATGCAATGCAACACCACTACCAAACACCAGATTATCAAATCTGTTCTCGCCCCATCGCTTGTGGAAAACTCAACGGAGCAGCATGCACACCCGTTGTCGCTACATCAGCATTTGCCTGAAATCCGAACCATAGTTCAAACAAATGTACACATATCCCACGCAAGAGGCAACCAAGTGATGAGCAAATGCCTCCGCTGCATCATATCTCCGTGCGGTCAAAACAGCCTTGTTGAGGAGCTCATCAACACTGGTGCAGGTGCTTTGTGATTCAGAACTCTCTGGAGGAGGCAAAGGCAGCGGATCGCTACCTGAAGAAGAGCTTTCTGCAGAGTTCCCTCCATCTTTTGATTGACCATCTCGATCATCTTCTTCCTTCTCATCTTTCTCTCTGCTTCGACTTCCACCGGTCCCCTTCCAGGTGGCATGCCCTCACCATGTCAGGTCGAGGTTCTAACCCAACTCGCATCAGGTGCAACTGCAAATATTTGTGCAACCCTGAAATATCAGTAAAAGATGCTTACTTGTCCATTGAGCTTGTTAGTTACAGTAGATTATCAACCTGGAGATGCAAGTTGACTTCATCTGGACGTGAAAGAAAAAATGGGAAAATCACCACCACTCTTCAAGTGAGCTCGCCTTGCCTCGGGGTGCCTCTCACTTAATTGATCCTTCAATTGCTGAGGTGTTGCACAGTAATTATTCGTCTTTTCAGGAGGGCACCAGGATAACCAAAATACAGCAGTTAGGAAGAAAAAACTAGCACTGCCTTGTTATACAAGAAAAGTTGGTGAGCAGCTGAAACAGGATCAGGTGAAACTCACATCCATGATAGTGATGAATTGATCTGAAAGGAGAAGAGATCCAACTGATGTGGCATCAACATTCAATGTCAGCCTTGACGCAAGATCATCCTTCGAAAGTGTTTCAACCTGAGGAGGAGCATTTGAAAGTAGGTTTTAAAATTGGAGGATAAAATTAAAGTCACGACACAGATAATTAAAGTCACGACACAGATAATATAAATAAAATTAGTGATACACTGTACATTTAAATGAGATAGTGAACAAAGAAAAATTTATCAGCCACACCCAATTGATCCGCCATTGTTATTGTGCTTTGACCATCAGGAAATGACAATCTTTAAGGAGTAAGTTCATGAATTTAGATTCTAACCTATACGAAAACACTACAATATTCCATTTTACTAGAGGTTGAAGGAGAGCAATTGACAAAGACATGTGTCCATAGGACTTACAAAGGTGCCCATGGCATAGCAGCTGCAAAACTCCGATTATCCAAAAATGTATTTGACAGGACCAATGATCTCACCCGCCTTGGACGATGCTGAGCAAATATTTGAGCCAAGAAGCCTCCAAGAGATGTACCATAGAGATGCATCTGTCATATTTACAATAAAGTTAGTTCCTCTAACAAGTCAACAGGATTATGCCAGGAAAATGAAGGACAATCAGAGTTTGTTGGCACGAGACAATTCAAAAGCAAATGCAACATAAAATATATGAACAGAGAACAAACTGTTCAACAAAAGAAAAAATGGGCATATCGAAGAAAGATTCTTACATGATGAACATGGATGACATCTAAGAACTTGTCAAACTCCTGAATCCATTCTATATGATTCCAAACACGTGGAATATCGATAGAGATCACCCGGTATCCCTGCATATTTTAAACATGTTGTGAAATACAATCCAAATGCCATCATATTGAAAATAAATAGTTGATCATTAGATACACATTGAAAAAACTTTTAAATTGACATGCATCCTTAAGGCATATGAAATCCTCCCTAAAGCATATGTGAAAAGTTCATGCAGAAAAGAATCATACATCCAAAAAATAACCCGAGAATTACCAAGGCTGGAGCATCACACTTTCGTTAATTTTGAAGCACGTAGATGGAGCATTATAGAGCTAATATGATATCATCTCCAATATTCCAATGTGATATATCGGCTTGTTGCTAAATCTTCTTCCGAGATACACTTGAACCATTAAAATACCAACTCTATGGACAGTTGAAATAATATAGCAAGAGAGCTGGAAAATTACCTTCATGGACAGTGCCATAATCTGTTTGTAGTAGACATCCGCGGTGCCTGCTATTCGAGGAAGACAAATAAGAGGAGGAACCGTTTTGGGACCAAAATCTTAGTATCGCCACTGCTTTGATCCAATCTATACGAGGAACATAAAACATGAAAAAAAAGGGGAAGAAAGGGCATTCTAATCAATAGCTGCCGCTACAAGAGATCAAGCTATAAAGAGGAAACTCATTGTGCTACAGAAGAACAAGATCAGCAGCGGAGCATCAAAACACCATCCAGAGAATCCAACTGTGATAAGATAATGCTGGAAGAAAATCCCTGTTCAACTTATAAACTGACCAGGAAAAAACGCATGTCCAACAATTGACAATCACAAACAGTTTAATCACTTAGCCAAAGCTCCCAATTCTAGTTCAGGCTTCCAAATCTATAGCAGAAGCTAGAATCAAGTTCAACACATACATGCAGGAAGATCAACACACACCTAGATTAAGTGACCAACCCAGCAGTAAATTAACTTTGTGAAAAGAACAGTCTACAGCCAAAACAAAAGCATTCCCACTGGAAGTAACTAATAAGTAATAACACCCCAAAGTTGAATTTCCCACAAACCCGAAGTTGGGAAAATGAGAGAAGGCAATTGGGTACTCAGACTTACGGGGATCTTATGGAGAGGAACTTGGGACTTGAAGTGGACATAATCTCCCGGCGCCGCTAAGACGCCTTTCATTGCTTTACTAATTCAATTTTCCGCCCCGCTTCCTGCCCGATCACTTGATTGTTGGGGTCGCCACTCGCCGGCAAACGCACACCACTGACCTTTCTCGCCCAAACTCTCTCCGGCTCCGCTATGATTGATCGACGGACCCGGACTACGGCGACGTTTTGCACCTGCTTGTCGGCCAGCGAGGCAGCGGTGCTAAAAATGAGGCGCCAATTTCATTAAACCCCGTTTCGAATCCCGCGGCCCGCAACTGTCAAACCTTTTCGTGTTCTTTTTTCTGTCAGCCGCTCGCAATCTCCAGAAGAAAGAAACCCTCCGTTCTCTCGAATCCGCCGCTCGCAAGCTCTCTTCTTCTTCTTCCTCAGTCTCACCGAGCCTGAAACCTCGATCATTCGTTCCTTTGCGGTCCTCTAGAAACAACCCCGTCGTCTTCCTCTCCGATCCATTCGTTCGTCGCCCTTTGGTCTTCCTCTCTAAGCTCCAAAAACCCAGCGCCCATTCCTTCCTCGCCCCTCCAGAAACCGCGCAGCGTGGTTAGTTTGCTTGGTTTGATTTTATTGATGTTACTGCTAGTTTGAGGCAATTGAGAACTTGTAAGTTTGAAGTAGAGTTGATTGGTTTAAGCTTGATTTTATTAATGTTGCTGATTTTGTAGATGATCATCATTGTAAGTTTACGCTCTCCACAACTGTATAGTCCCTAAAAACCAACGACCCCTTTTAGAAAGCCGCTATGTTCTCAAATTCCCGCCGGCTCTGCCACTACTCACTTCAATGGGCACAGCTGAAAACCCACAACCCATTTCTCGATTCGTGTAGATTCCGCCATTTCAACACAAAGTCAGCTACTTTACCACCAAAAGCCCCCCACAATACCCCCACAGTGGCAATTTTCTGGGATTTGGATAACAAGCCCCCAAACTCGATTCCTCCATTTGAGGCAGCCATGAAGCTCAAAAGGGCAGCTTCCTCATTCGGGGTAGTTCAACACACGGTGGCTTACGCCAATCGGCACGCCTTTAGTTATGTGCCACAAGCTGTGAGAGAGCAGAGGAAGGATAGGAAGTTGCTGAACCAGTTAGAAAACAAGGGCGTCATTAAGCCAGTAGAGCCCTATGTCTGCAAGGTTTGCGGGAGAAAGTTCTACAACAACGAGAAGATGGTCAATCACTTCAAACAGATCCACGAGAGGGAGCATCAGAAGAGAGTGAACCAGATCGAATCGGCTCGAGGGAAGAGGAGGGTGAATTTGGTTGGGAAGTATGCTATGAAGATGCAGAAGTACAGGAATGCTTCGAGGGATGTTTTGACTCCGAAAACTGGGTATGGGTTGGCAGATGAACTGAAAAGAGCAGGGTTTTGGGTTGGGACTGTTTCAAACAAACCACAGGCAGCTGATGTGGCGTTGAAGGAGCATATGGTCGATGTGATGGACAAGAAGAAGGCCGAGTGTGTTGTTCTTGTCTCAGATGATTCGGATTTCGTTGGTGTAGTTAAGGAGGCGAAGTCAAGGTGTTTGAAGACCGTCGTTGTTGGCAATTTGGAGCACGGGGCGTTGAAGAGGGTTGCTGATGCAGGGTTTTCTTGGCAGGAGGTTTTGATGGGGAAGGCTAAGAAGGAAGCCATCTCAGTTGTGGAGAAATGGAGCGACCGTGAGATTTTGGAGAGGTTGGAGTGGAGGTTTGATCCGGAGAAGGAGAGAGACGCTTATGCTGCTGTGGATGCATTCTACAATGAGACTGCAAGCGGTGGAGAATTTGATGATGATAGTGTCTTTGGTGGAGGTTATGAAATGGGTGGTGGTGTTGTGGAGAGGGAAGATTCTGGTTCTTGGTGGGAGCTGGATTCTGATGAGGCTGTCTCTTAGCAGAATACCATGGTAATTCTAAACGCTAGGATTTTCCATATCCCATTTGGTTTCGACTTTCTGTAGGGGTTCTGCCAACATCATTTGTGGTCAGCTGGACTAATGGGAGAGAACAAATGTATGAGTGGACGATTGTTTCCATTCTGTTAACTTGCTGTTGGATCCTTTGATAGGGAGATGCTTGAGATTCGTTTAGAATGAAGGATTGAAGTAGCAAAAGTTGAATTTGATTGATTTTCACCGAGAGATTGAAATGGGGAGTGGATGGTGTTGATCTGCAAGCTCGGAAGCACACAGAATGGTAAATGCCAAATATGAGTTCCCTACTACTTCCTATGCAAACTACAGAGTTCTACACTCTGTAGGTTTCTTCTGCAGTTGGATTAGCCTCAGGTTGTTCAGGTTTTGCTCGAACTGATATCCTCTGTGGGAAATCACCTATAGGCTATATCAACCATGGAAAAGGAAAAGTGACTGAGTTATTCGACAAGGAACAAGAATCAGACTGAATGTCATAAGAGGGTGGCCAATGGAAGAGAGGCAGCTAGCTAGCTTTACTGCTAAACAGGGAAACCAAATTGCAACGGAAGATGCGCACTTCAACAACTGAGCACTGTATGACTGAAAGGGAAAGACGTATTACCAAAGACTACGTGGCAAGTGCGGAGTGCCAACCACTACAGAAGAAGAACCATCGTTTTTTTGTAACTTATCAGGAATTAGCCTCCAACCTTTTTGCTTTCTTTAAAAAAGTGGATTCTGCTTTCTTTCTTGAGGTGGCCACTCGCTTGCAGCTACGGTGTATCCTAGATTTCGAATGGATATAGAATGTTACAGTGACATTCTTTGTTTTTTTCTATGTTTGTCAATCCAATTTTTGGATGCGCTTTTCTCACGTCTAATAAAAATCCAAAGATGACCTCTATGTAATGGACAACTCAACTAGAACGAACACTAGTAATGGTCAGCTCAGCTGCAATGGTAAATAGTGATGTGGTGAGTGTTAGAGTTAGTCAATGCAAAGGTTGTCAAACCAGTTTATGTCATTGTATCCTGTGTTGGTTTAGCAAGTGATATGATTCGATCAGTGGTACAATTGGTTCATGCCGGTTTAACAAAATATATAGAAATATTTTAAATCATTAACATTAATGTATTTAATCATATGTGAAACATATTTAAAGACAATTTACTGACAATCTACATTCATATTTAAATAAGATACAATATTTCAAACAAAATAACAAGTACTCATATTTAAATACAATATTTGACGTCAACACCCAAACTTTTATACTTGAATTCACCAAATAACATCAACGTTTAACTTTCAAATTCATGAAATAGATTGCAAATATATTTTGTTAATTAAATTTACTAAAACAATGTCATTTTATTTAGAGACCGAAAATCGGTCATACCAGTAGTATTCATGTCGATTTCGTGATCGATATTGGTTGTACCAGATTCAACCAGCGACATTCCACCGGCGTGACAACAATGAGAAAGAGAGTGTAAGTGCTTTATAAGTCTTCTACACACTTTATTTTATTAAATAAATGGTTAGTAAGTTTTTGGGAAAGTGTCTGCATTTTACACGGAATATTAATAGCTACCGAAGTGCTCTATCTCAGTACCATGAAGAAAAAGTGGTTAGTTAGTTTTTCTTGAAACAATTATATCAAAAAATTATTTAGACGCGGAACAATATGATATTTGTACTTAGATATCTTTTAAAATAATCTGGTCCACCTCATGTATTGCACTGGAACCAACGTGGTTATATTAACAAGATGATAAGGATTAAATTACTACGATCGCCACACCAATACACTCAATGATATATATCAAATATGAATGAGTGACATGAAATTTACATGCAGTTTGATCTTGAAAATGTCTATTTCCAACTAGTTAAATTTTAGTGTTTTTAGTGAGATAAATGGAAATATTTTCATTTCACAATCAATTTCTTATCAAAAATCAATTTAGTCATAATTTACTGAACATCCATAAATGACCCCACTAAACCAAGGGGCCATCTGGATTGACACTTACGCTAGCATTCGGAAAATTTTAAGTGTAAAACCTTTGGCTAATGGGTAAGCTAGTATTAGGAAAATAGATGTTTGATTTTTGAGTTAATAGCATTTTTTATCCCTAAATTATCATAATTTTTCTATCAAGGACTGTGAACTATTTGTTTTTCTTTGACCCCTGAAGTATAGTTTTCCTCTCTAATCTGACCCTTAACATTCAAAGTTCATTAGTCTCCATTAAATTGCGAACCTACCAAACCATTGTTATAGAGCCTGTGCCCATAAAAAGTCACATAATTACAACAACAACAGAAAAAAATATTCCTCCATATATTTAATCCCCTCTCTAACTAATCCCTTTCATGTGTTTCACCTTACAATTTCCAATCAAAATCAATATATCGGCTTATATTTTTTCGAAACGGTAAAAATGATTAAAATGGTCAGAATAACTTTGTAATTACATGATGTTATAATTGAGTCAAAATCTAATTAGCGTGTCAAATGAGCAATTGGACCTCTGTTTAAAGAGAAGATTAACCGTCTTTAAACACTTAGGGGCACAACAAGAAAATGTTTAAATTTGAAGGATTATCTTAGAAAAAATATTATAAGGGTTATGATAGAAAACCCACTACAAAAAAAAAAGTCTACGGCAAGAGTTATTTTTGTCTATAGCAAGGGTTTAAACCCTTGCTACATAAACCCTTGCTACAAGATCTTGCAAGGGTTTTCAAACTCTTGGACAAACCCTTGGCAAAGCTGCCCCTGCTACATGTAGCAAGGGTTTTGAGTGATCCTTGGTGGAAGTCCTATACAAGGGTTGTACCAAGGATTTTGAACCCTTGCTACATTAGCATGGGTTTAAAACCCTTGCTATACGTCACTAGAATTGAAAGGGATAATAGTCACTAGAATTGAAAGGGATAATAAACGCATACTTAGCCCGGGTTAAAACCCTTGCTATACTCACCAAAATTAAAGCAAACGAACATTATTTTCTCGTCGCTAAACTAACGGTCACTAAATATATCGTCGCTAATGTGCAGCCAAATTGCATGTTTCCGGACGACATTCTTGTTACTAGACATTGTCGTCACTAAAACTCAAATATTCTCGTCACTATATGTGAACCCAAATTGGGTTCTCTTTGTACATTCCAAATGAGAGAACAAATTGAATTTTCTAACGGTTCAACACCAAATAAATACTAAATAGAAACAAAAGTCCGTCAATAAATTGTAATATTCTTATTATGATCTGCAATCACACCATAACCATACAATGATTAACAATCTTAACACACTATAATTCATATAGCATATGAATATTCTAAACATATTCTAAACACTAAAGCGTCTAAAGTTACATCTTGATGATTTGTAACTCCTATTAGAGAGTTGGGTGCAGGCTAGAACCTAATGACACTTGCACCCTGTCTGGACTAGGAATCTATCATTGCTACTGTCACATTGATCTGCTTGAAGAAAAATTCTGCAATTACAGCAAAACTCACTGTTTAGAATTAAAATGCTCTAAAACTCACAAGAATTGCAGCTGTCACTTAATCTTGTTTTTCTCCGCTGTTAATAGCTTATCCACAAAACATGCGATTAATCACCAACTACCAACGTTATAACGACAGAGACATGATATGCTTTAGAGGGCATGACTAATACATACCTAATAGCAAGGTGCAGCTCAAAACCAACCATGAATTGTCTGCTACATCAAATGACTGCAAGTGAAACAACAAGCGATGAATGAATAAAGGGTGAAATAAAAACTGTGAATCCAAAAAAGAGGACCTCAAAGAACCAGCAAAATTAGTAAGCACAATCCTCAATTTTCTTGTAACAGACCATCCAACTTTGGAACTATTTCTTCCTGCAAAATCAATAAGAGAAGAGAACAGCAAGATAGTAGTTTTGATTCTCATTTTCTACTTAAAAAGTCAACTTATTAAGTTTTTGGTGTCTCACCAATGCACAATCCCCAAGTGTCCTTGTAAGAACAACCATCACATTGACAAACAATGCCTTCCTTGCATTCGTCGATATCTGGTGGTCAGCCGAGCAAAAGGGAGGGAAAAGTTTAGGATGCAGGCAGGGAGCATCAATTCTGGAGACGTTAAACGATGAGTATAAGAAGATTTATTACCTTCACAATGTTGGCCGTCCCCATGGAAACCAAGTAACACTGGCAATATGATAGATGTGGGTCCTGTTTCCATAGAGAAGAAATGAAGTATTGTTTACTTCCAAGGTAGAGAAGAACAGTGTGGCCTTTTCTTGCTACTAAGGAAAGACGACAAAAGACATTGTTGCAAGGGCACTTATGGCAGTACCCTAATTTCATGTTCTCTTAAGAGATCCTGCAGGGCACTTCAGGACTCAAGCTGTTTAATTACAACAGGCCAAGTAAGTAATGGGAAAACCCATAATAATTGGCAGGTGAATTAAAGGAACTGAAGTTTTCATATATCTCACAGGTACTCGATCAACTTACAAATGGAAGCTTGATATGTTGAGTTGTGATGAATGAATGCAAGGGATCTACTTTTCCATTCCTTAAGGGAAACAGAAAAATTGTAGAGAAATTAGTGAAGAGTGGTTCATACAAGTACAATTACATGGTAGAACAGAAAAGTAAAAAATCATTGACACCTTGCACATATTATACAAATGATTTTACATAGTTTACCAAGCATGTAGAACAGTAAATACTTCGGAATATTATTTCAAGTCCCAACTCCAAGGTACAAAAAATTACAGTACCTCTAGCTTACCCAGATTTCACTTATGCATTTTCTGAGGTGCTTAACGTAGATTCAACTGGCCCTGATATATTATTCTGCTTCCCATCTGATGATTGGAATGCAATTACCAGTATAGGCCCATCTTGATTTGGGGTCTTGAGTGATGGTTGTAACGATCAGCTTTGTCCCTCCACAAGACAAGATACATACAAATTATTAGACAACAGTACTTAATTAATCTAATTGATGAAAACAGAGAAAATCTATTACCTGTCTTGTTATGGGCCGGGACAGTTCCATGAAGTAGATTGTGAGAGACATCCCTGTACATACATAAACAAAATTTCCATCATTCCTTTTGTTGTTCAATGCACAAAAACAACATAATACCATTGTAAAAATGCAATGAGATTGATCCAGCCAATTGAAATAACACATTTTATACTCACATGACCCTCAATTCCCCTGCATTCACAAGGATTAACAGCCAGCAGGTAGCTCTCCCTGCAGCTTGTTGTTATTCTCCTACGACCTAACAAGACCAAGAAACACCCTCCTCCTCCTCTAGTCTTCCTTCCCATGTTGGGTTGGTCAGTTTTGGATCCTGAAATGGAACACCAACATAATTATGACTAAAAAACTTCCTTCCTAAATACACTCCTCTTTTTCTCTTCATATGCTTTCATTTTCACCCGTTAGCAGAGACCACTTCGTTCCACAACTTCCTGCAAAATCAATAATCACAAGTCAGGGTACTGAGAGAAGAGAACATGAGTGTACAAAGGGAATGCAGAGTAATGACTAATGTCACCCAAGTTCCTTACAACAGTTCTGTACTGCTGATGTTCATTCATGAGAGGGTGGAATTCTAGGGGAACAATGCATCGACTAAGTAATATAAACATGGGTGGACACGGAGTAATAATGCAAATTTAATAACCATTTGCTTGACGAGACTCCAACTGCAAATGAGAGATAAATCAGCTTGAAGTTTTATGCCACAATTTTTCGTTAATGTAAAGAAGGAACTAATTGTCTCACCAGTAGTTAAATTTCTCAGCAACCCCAACTTAGAAGTAACTGGTATCTGCATCAACGTTGGAAAAAATGAAGAATGCTTAATGCTAGCTTTGCATGAACCCAACTATCATTCTGACAAGATTGAGCAATCCACCATGCTATTGTCATAAATCTATTTGATCACTTATTAAGAACCAAGACCGGGACAAAAGGTAAGCTACAAATCTATTTGAGCAGCAAGAGGTAGTCCCTAACTTAAGTTGTTCCATGGCAAAGATACAGAGTAACAAATCTTTAGAAACTTCAAAGAAAGGATGCTTATCAAATAACAACAAAACATTACCGAAATGGGAATCAAGAATTCAACCTATTTCCATGACCCTGACAATATATGATTGTTCCATCCTTCACTCTATCCACTAACTATAAACATACCCCAACCAGCTACATTAGTATGTAACCTCAAGAAAGTTTCACAACTTCCTACGCAAATCGTCATTAAACTGAGAGTTCCAATTATGGACTGAATCCAACGAATAGAATCTTGAAAAGTGTAAGGAGGCAGAGGGCATCGGAGATGGATTTTGGTGAAATTTCAGGCAGCAAGGAGGGATTTAGGGATTCCTTTTGGAATTGCAGGCAAAGCAACTTACAATCTCGAATTCAAGGTGCAACGAGCATGCAGAATGAAGAATTTGAAAGAAGCCTAATCAACATGCATCGGAGGGAAGAGAATTCCAATTCTTACCTTCTTTTGATGGTACTCGCAGCATCAGATGTTTCCGTTCAGCAACGAAAATTCATGCTCTCAATTTCTGGAACTCACAGCATAGCTGGTGTTTCTTCTTCCGATGGTTCAAAAAAGCAGGTTTAGATAACACAAATCTACACTGATTCAGTCGTAGAATGCAGAGAATTCGGAGAGACAGAGCTCGTAGAGAGATAACCTTGTGATGGAAAGAACTTCTTGAGAAAGTTGTTCAATTCTCCTCAAATCAGCTTCGTCGGGAAAGCTATGGGGAACCTCGCCGATATGAACCTCCCAATTGACACTAATTAGAGATTTTTTTTTCTCGCAGCTTCTTCCCAAACTCTCCAGTCGGTTTCTTAAGCTCATTGTTGAATATGGAAGAGAGGAAGAAGAAGAAGCATAAGAGGTGAAAAGAAGTTCTCCAGATTGTCTCCCAAATTGGAGAGAAACGCTCGGGAAGTTAAGTGAATTGAGTAACTCGCTACCAAGGATTTCCAAACCCGTGAAACAAGCCGCAGAAACGCTGATTTTCATAATTGCTAGCAAGGGTTTGGTGAACCTCTGCTACAAAACCCTTGGCAAATGCCCATTTTTCTGTAGTGACCCTTGGTAATTCATAAACCAAAAATACTAATTTTTTTTTAACATAGACAAACGAATAATTGGTGAGTCACATATTCACATAATAGTAAGCGGATGATTTGATAGTATGGCAAAAGTTTGTCAATATGTAGATATACACGAACATATGTGCACGATATTGTAACGAAATATTTTTGCCCGTTGCGATATATTTGACTGGGGGTTCCCCTGTTTTTCTTCCCTTCTCCAACCACCAGGACTTTGGTTGTAAATTTTATCACCGCCAGGCGCCATGGCTATCAGCGTTTTGGTGAAGATAATTAAGTTACAGGGCAGGCGTTTTTCCATATATACTTATATATTTATTTATACACACACATCATTTCTTGAGTTCTGAGTCCCGTAGCTAGTTTCCAATTACACAACCACCAACTTAATAAGCAAGCAGCTCCAGCCCAGCCGGCAGCCGAGAAGCCGGCACCGCAACCAGCGGCCTCTTCTTCTTGATGAACAGAGTAAAATCATCAGAAAGATCAACCCCTCCTTCCTCCCCATCAGCCAGCCTCCACTCGAAACGATGCAACAACGAACCCAACACATACTTCAACAGCCTCTCCGCCAAACTAACCCCCGCGCAGATCCTCCGACCCGACCCGAACGGAACGTACCGGAAACTGCTGCTGCTGCCCATGAAATCAAACGTCCCGCCGTCCAGAAACCTCTCCGGCCGAAACTCCGACGGCTCGGCCCAGAACTGCGGGTCCCTGTGGATGGCCCACGAGTTGACGAACACTTTCGATCCCTGGGGGACGGTGTACCCGCCGACGGTGCAGGCTCGGCTCGCCGTCCGGTTCATGAGGGCCAGGTACAAACGGCAGGTCTCCTTTATCACGGCGTCCAAGTACTTGAGATCTTTCAAGTGGTGGTCTTCGACGAGGCTGTCGGGCCCCACGATTTCGTCGAGCTCTTGCTGGACGGATTTCATTGCTCTGTCGCTCTTGAGTAATTCTGACATTGCCCACTCGATTGTGCTGGCTATGTTTTCGTTCCCACCAACGGCAACGTCCTGCCAACATATATTAATCAATGATTGTAAAATCAGGCTGTACTTGTACGTGATAAAATCAGCGCGATAGAGTATTTTTATTAAAGTAGTAGTTTTACTTAATATATGATTAGTATGTAAAGTAAATTTGTGGTAATAGAAAAACTTCCATGACACATATGAATTGACATGGATGATCCATTTTTAACTAATACATTTATTTGAATCAAATATCTCATATTGACTTAGGGACATTGACATCCTAATTTTGACAATTTAGCTACATGATTGTTTCTTTTACAAGCGAGATAACAACTTTATTAGTCATTAATTCCAAACTTCAATAACAAGTTAACTAAAAAAAGATATTGGTAGCCATATTTGTTAACTACTCTATGTAGTCAAAATCGCGCTTTAAAATTTAAAAACTTACGGTTTACGCTTCTAGATCACAAAAACGCTTCCGTTTCCATACAAAATTTTTAGTGTATAAAATTGGTATAATTTGCACTTTAAAGCTTACGCTTTTAGTTCACCAAAATGATTTACGCTTTTACGCTTCTTGTTCACTACATGAGTATTCTGTTCATGAAATTAATTATAAAAAGTATATTTCAAAGGTAAATCACCAACAATAAGATATATTTGAGATTAAAAGATACATACCACGTACTTGAATGTATTCTCAGCTTCAATAGACTAATCTAATTCACCAACTAGGCGCTTTCCAAATTCATTAGCATAGAGACGAAAATGACTTATTGTTAAGATCTAATATTTATGAACTTATTCTTAATATATTATGAGTTGCTCTACCTTAGACACATTTTTACGCTTTGATTCTATGTTTTACAAATTTTATCATTTTTAGTTAGAATCTTACTTTTCAGTTTTCACTGCATTGTTCTAAACCACTACTCTTTTTTTGACTTTTAATGAACATTCCAAATTAAACCAAACTTACCCAAGAGGCCAAGACTCAGCCTTTGCTCTACGTCTCTACCTAACCATTTATAAAATTTATTTCTAAAAAAGCTTGGTGCCGTGGCCATATATATTTTTTAATTCCTTCAACGTTGACTTTCAACAATTTTGATTTTTGAGCCTAGGAAAAACCGATCAGAAACTGCAGTACCTGAAGCATGGCTTTGAAGTGGGCCATGGAAGTCAACGGCGATCCAGCGCCGGAACTTCCCCTTCTCTCCAGCAAAACCTGCAACAAATCCACCTTATCAATCTCGCCTCCCTTCTTCTCCCCGCCGCCGTCTAATCGTTTCCGAATCATAGCGCTGACAATCCGATCAAACCTCTCCGCCAGTTCCGCCGCTTCCCTCCCAATCCCCTGCAGATCAAACCTCGCCAGCATCGGAAACAGATCAGAAACATTCGGCTTCGCCATCAGCTCCATAATCCGCTGCCCCACTTCCCGAGTCTCCCCGTAATCGCCACCAACAACTCCCCCTCCTCCGCCGCCGCCCCACAGCATACCCAGAGTCGCATTTCCGACCACCTTGTGCGCCAATTCGAACACGCCAACCGGCTTACCGACTTCTACTTCGTTAAGAGCTTTGACGACCTCTCTCCTCCGCAGTTCGTAGCACCCGTCCAGGCCTGGGCTGCTGAGGGCTTCCCGGACCAGGACCTTCCGCATCGAGTTCCAGTCCGGGCCCATCGGGAGGCAGGCCAGGTCCAGCCCGCCGTAGGTGCAGATCCGGCCCACTAACGGGAGCTCGCGGCTCGAGAAGACGGATTCGTTGTCGCGGAGGACTTGTTTGGCCAGCGCCGGGGAGCTGACCACCACGTACAGCTGGCTGCCGACCCAGATCTTGAAGATCGGGCCGTATTTGGCGGAGAGTTCGGCGAATTTCCGGTGGATTGGGGCGCCGTTGAGGAATGGGATGTAACCTAGAATTGGGAGGCCAAGTGGGCCTGGAGGCAGAGGTGCTAGCTTTTTATTGGATCTTTTCACGGCCCAAAAGTAGAAGATTGTAGCTGATATTATTGCTATGGACGCGGCGATGAGGGAGGGATTGGTCTGGTTAAGCGGAGCGAGGAAGGAGGCGGCCATTGGAGGAGCTTGAAGCTAGTTTCGGAGTAGTAGTGAGGTGGAGAAGGAAGACTGGTATGATATAGCGGTAACTATAGGGTGAATTACAAGTTTCATCATAGAATTACTAAAACATTTCACGTTTTGCCACTTTTTGAGAGAACAAGGTTCAAATGTTTAGTGTTTTGCAATTGAACCCAATAATTAACATACCGTTTGGTAACAAATGAATCACAAATTCATTTCATTGTAAAATGAATTACCGTGTAGAATTAATTGTAAAATGAAATCCTATGTTTGGTATGTTATATTCAAATATTTAGAAATAAAATGAAGTATAGTGTAGAATTCATTGTCAAATGAATTCTTGTGTTTGGTATGTAATATGTATAAGTAATTTAGTTAACAAAAGAGGATAATCATGTCATTCTTTTATAATTAGTAAATACTTGTGAAATTCATTTGGAAATTCCATCTCAATTCTTCGGAATTGCTATAACTAGTTCCAATTCCGTAGAATTTAAATTTTAGAATTGAAAATGAATTCCTTTAATACTAAACACAAAAAATTTCATTTTAAATTGAATTATTCAAAACTTATAAAATTCATTTATATCAAATGGTATGGTATATAAAACAAAAACATTAAGATAAATTAAAAAAATTAGGACGTGAAATAGAAACATTCCCCTCTCCCATCTTACCCAACAAAGGAGTGTGGGCCCCAAATGAAATAACCTCTCGGAATCCAGCAGTGATGCTCAATAATGATGACAAGAAGTTTGTAGACTTTGGTTGATCAACCCAAACCCAAACCCAAAAACTCCATGGCTCACATCTAATGGGCGGTGACGCTCTCAAAAATATGCGGCCATGCAATTACCAAGTCCCTATCACCTTCTTCAACCATAAACAGCAAATATCCATACCTCATTCCAATAGCATTAACGGAAAAGAAAAATCCCATATAAATGGTCATAGCCACCTATTCCTTCCATTTCACTTGCATTGCATCCCAGCTTCCCCTCTCCCCAAAATTCTCTACAGTTCACCTTGGTTGAGAATGGAGGATTTGCAGCAGGGGAAACTAGTCGTCGGAGCTTTCGTTGCCATCGTTGCAGCGTCGATCATGGCGTTCTGGTTGATGAAGAAAGGCAACAACAAGAGACGACAAACAGCCCCATTGCCACCCGGCCCACGCGGATTGCCAATAGTCGGGTACTTGCCATTTCTAGGCACCCATCTCCATAAGAGCTTCACAGAGCTTGCCCGAGTTTATGGCCCAATCTACAAGCTTTGGCTCGGACACAGAATCTACATCGTGATTAGCTCACCGTCGCTGGTCAAACAAGTCCGCGACCACGACGTAACATTCGCAGATCGAGATCCCCTCATTGCTCCCAAAATCCTTACCGCCGGCGGGAATGACATTGCTTTCTCCTCCTACGGCACCGAGTGGAGAAAGCTGCGGAAGGTCTTCGTACGAGAGCTAATGAGCAGCGCCCGGCTCAATGCTTCCTACGTGCTGAGAAAGCGGTATGCCGAGAAGGCTATTAAAGATGTGTACCAGAAGACAGGTAAGGCTCTGGACTTTGGGCAGTTGACGTTTATGATCATATCGAACACTGTTCTTAGCATGCTATGGGGTAGCACGACACATGGAGAGGAAGGTGAGAAGTTGTTCTCGCAGATCCGAGAAATAGCAGGTGAATCCATGGTGCTACTAGGGATGCCAAACATCTCCGACATGATTCCAGCACTCGCCCGGTTTGACCTGCAGGGGATGGAGAGAAAAAGCCAGGAGACATTTCGGAGGTCAGATAGAATTTTGAGCTCCATAATCGAGGAGCGTCGGAAACTAAGGGAAAGTGGAGACAGCAACAGCGTCGGCAAAGAGGCGAAAGACCTTTTGCAAGTCCTACTAGACCTCAACAACCATGGAGATTATGCTGCTGAGTCATCAATTACAGACAACCAACTCAAAGGCATTCTCATGGTTAGTGCACCTGAACTTTGCTAAAGCTTCTCAATCAAAATGAAGCAGGTAACAGAAAAGATCATTGTAGCAGGATTCCATCATCGGCGGAACGGACACAACATCGACCACAATAGAGTGGACGATGGCTGAGCTGATGCAACATCCAGACGCAATGCACAAAGTACACAAAGAGCTTGACGAAGTAGTAGGAAGAGGCAATGTCTTGGAGGAGTTCCATCTCCCCAGATTACACTACCTAGAAGCGGCCATCAAGGAGACATTCCGACTGCATCCAACCCTGCCTCTGCTGGTGCCACGATGCCCTACCGAGGACTGCCAAATAGGTGGATACACCATTCCTAAGGGAGCCACCGTGTTCATCAATGCTTATGCAATGCACAGGGATCCACAGCTCTGGGACAGTCCTCTGGAGTTCAGACCAGAGAGATTCCTAGACGTGAACGCTGCCAAGTTTGATTACTTGGGGAACAGTTCTCAGTATTTCCCGTTTGGGACGGGTAGAAGGGTCTGCGCAGGGATTCCCATGGCCGAGAAGATGCTCAATTACATTCTAGCATCACTGCTCCACTCATTTGAATGGAAGCTAGCTCATGGGTCGACAGAGGTGGATTTGACAGATAAATTCGGAATCGTTGTTAAGTTAGAGAAGCCATTAGTTCTCATCCCTACACCAAGGCTAGCCAATCCAGAGCTATACTATAGCAAGAAACCTACTGAAATCAATTCATGAACTGCTGCCTATTGCAATGTCATTACTGCGTATAAACTATCCAAACTATGTTTGCCTGTAATGGCTTCTACTGAGTGAATGCAAGTTCAGTTACTTGGGGAAAGAACTCAATTAATTCAGTTAGCAAGTGAGAATTGGAACCCAGAAAGCCTATCTTACTTTCATTATATCATGAGTATATATACACGAATTTAGACATGGAGCATTGCTCTATACCGCTAGGAGGTAGGGTGTATACAGCTAGGAGGTAGCTAAGAAGTTATGGAAGATTACAGAGCTTCATGAGCAGTTAATGTTATCTGTCTGCTCATGAATGTTATCTGTCTCTCATCAATAATTAACAGATTCCAATTAATTCAACAAAATGAAAGAGAGACAGAGCTCTGGATCCATTCCATCAATGGAGTTTCCATTCAAGGCATCCAGATTCGCAAAGAGAAACGCAATGGCTATCATGTGTTTTGCATCAGTTAGATATTCACAATAGCATATAACTTACCCTTCTCTCTCTCTCTCTCTCTTGTCCATTCTTATCTTCATCAGAGCAACTATTTCTCCTGTTGCTATCTCACGAGCAATGTAAACTTGACTGCAAGAAGAAGAGAATAACACGAAGCTAGAATCAAGTTTGTGTCAAGAATTAAAAGTTTACAACACCAGGAATCTCGAATACTGATTGCTCCCTAAGGAATTTGAGAAGCCATAGAAACAAGCAAGAACTAAAACTAGAAAAGCATATTTTGCAACAATGAAGTGGTACTGCATTATAAATTGTTGCTGTACCAATAAAATACCCAAAGGTGCACTCTCCAATTCGCTCCAACTTCTCAAAGTTATCAACAGTTGGGGATCCCCATGAAGAAAACTCGGTTCCTGGAGAATCTTTTCACTTCTTCCTCATCTTCTCCCTCCTGTTGTAATTTTCCCAAAACCCTAAAGTAACAAAAGGTCCAAACAAAATTGGGAGAAATTTGGAGTTTAGCAGTAAGAAGAGAGTCGGCCAGAAGTTACCTGTGCCGAAGCCACGAAGAAAGACAAGACAGAAAACGCAGCAGCTTTCTCGGTTGCCCCTTTGTCGGAAGCAACCATGGCCAAAAGAAGCTAAAGACACGATCAGGACTCCAGAGTCTGTCGCGAAGAAGATTTCCACAGAGAATTCGAGCCGAAGTTAGGAAGGATACCTTATTGAAGGGTAACAGAGAGCTACGGGCTTTTTATTCACGAACTGAGGGACAGCCCACCGTCATGGAGCTGCGGCGAGGTAGGCAGAAAGAGTGGAAATGACTGGTCGAGGCAAAGTGCGGAGTAACTGCCGGAACTGGCGTCCGGCTCTAGCATCTGCCGTCTCTTCTTCGTCCGGAAGGACTGCCCGCAATCGACGGTTCACCGTCGACTTGAGGGATTGAATTGTCAAATATAGGAATGGCGGGGAAAGTTAATATTAGTTAGCATATATTAACTGATATCCAAAATACATGAACTAATATTCAAGTACTAAAATATTTAGAAAGCACATATTAGTATTCAAAATTTGTTAACTGGTATTTATCATAAATCAATTATTATCACAAATTCACAAACTGATATCTAGACAACACAGAATAGTATCCAAACAGAACATAATTAGTATCCAGATAACACATAAAAGTATGGCAAAATACACTTGTATAGCCATAACTTTCACGTTTGTGACAAATATAACCATAACTATCCGAAAACACAAAATAGCCAATTCCGTCCATTTTGTTAACGACGTCAGTTGACGTCATGACTGGACTAACAGAAGAAGCTGAGTTGGCGATTGATTTACCCCACCAACCGACGTGGATTATAGAGAAAAAAATAAAAAAAACATAAAAATTAATTAATTTAATTTTTTATTTTCTCTCCCCTCTCTCATCTTTCCTCTCCCGTCACAAAGATGTTTCCCCTCTCTTCTCAATTGCTCTTCCATTTTCCATCAGATAGTAAAACCATACGATCTGTGTTGGTGAGGGACGACGCTTCGATTGTTGGAAGGGACGGAAGCAGGCTTAATTTAACAGCAACGCAGATGGGGAAATCGACATTGGGGATCTGGGTTGGTGACAAATCGATGGAGGAGGTGCAGCAGATCTGAAGGCTACAACGGCAAGGTCCGATGACGACGACAGTGGCGGCAGGGGTTAGCGATGCTTCGTTCTCGTTTCTCGACCACATTTTCTCCGTCCAGATCCAACAACAGCAACAAGACAGCCCATCAAAAAAAAAAAAAAAAACAGCAACAAGACGTCGACCGTCGCCATCGCCGCCGACAACTCAGATCTGAAGGCTGCAACGGCAAGGTCCGATGACGACGACAGCGGTGGCGGGGGTTAGCGGTGCTCCGTTCTTGTTTCTCGGCCCATTTTCTACGTCCAGATCCAGCAGCAGCAACAAGACGTCGATCGTCGCCATCACGATGTCGCCACCGCCACCAACAACTCATCCACCCCTGCCGCTGACAGATTCAAACAAAGAAGAAGCGCCCACCATTGCAATCGTTGCTGAAGAAGACCCACTCCGGCTCAATACTGACTCCAGCTTCTCTTCTCGTCTGATTCCAGTATGATAATGGCAGCCCCAAACATATGGGTTATTCAATTTGGGGGGATTTGGATGAGCGGCAGAGATGGGCTGCAGGTTATTATTGGTCCAGTGAAAACTTTGTGTGCAGAAGTCGATATGATGATGGAGAGATTCGCAAAGATGGGTTCTTCTATTTTTTTCGATCAGCTACTGTGTTCGGCGAGCTATGGAGGATGGAGCCCTTGAGCCACTGGCGACGCAAAAAAAAATCAATATGGCAGAAAGAATTTTTATTTTTTATTTTTATTGAAATATGACATGGCATCTACATGGCAAGTGTGTTTGAGTTGTCGCTGACGTGTGCGATGATTTGGCATCTTAATCAGCCTAACGTTAACCTAACTGACGGAGTCTCTAACACCGTTAAAGTTTCTAACGGAAATTGCTAGATTTGTCACACTAACATCCAATTTTTAGGCTATTTTGTGTTTTCCAATAGTTATGGCTATATTTGTCAAAAACGTGAAAGTTATGGCTATGACAGTGTATTTTGCCTAAAAGTATCAAGATAACCCATAAGAGTATCCATATTGAATACTAGTTTGTTGATTGTGGATATTAGTTGGTATCTGCTATCTGAATACTAGTTTGTGATGTTTTGAATAGGAGTGATAGTCGGTTCAGTTACGGTTTAACCGAACCGACAGCTCGGTTAACCGCAGCCGATTACATGCCCAAACTCCCAACCGAAGCCGACGCCGATACACATGGTCGGTTATCCGACACCGAAACCGCAATCGTCGGTGTGGTTAGAACTCAAACCGTGAAACCGCAAAAGTTAATAGAATTGTCAATTTTGAGGGATTGGGGACCTATTATTATTCCTCTCCCGTCTTCCTCAAATCCTTCTCTCTCCCCCCCTTTTCAATCTCCGATCTGCCTTCCCCAAACCCCTCTCTCTCTCTCTCTCTCTCTCCCTCCTCCTCCTCTCTCCTTGACCATCTAAAGCCCCTCAATCTACGATCTGGAAGGCAGGGAGACAACTGACGGCGACCTAGGAAGGGGAAGAAGGGCATGGCAGCGGCGAATCTAGAGTCGGCGGCAGAGGACGAAAAGAAAGAGCCGCCGAAGGTTGGAGGTTTCGAATCTTTCCAGTTCTCGTCCACCTCCAAGGCTGAAGAAGGCAGGGACGACGGCGACCTGCACTCAATCTTCACGGGAGTCGACCCTCTTTTCCTTCCTTTGAAGGGTCTCGACTGTCGTCGCCTTCTAATCGGCGGAGGCGACAACTTCGGCGGAGAATGAGAGTGTAGTGGTGCATGTCTGGTTGGGGCGCCGAGGTTGGGATCGGGGAGATTGGGACGAAGATGTCGAGATTGAAGGAGGAGGTAGGGCGGCCAGATCTGGTAGAGGTCGAGAAGCTTCTGGATGGGGCGGAGCAGAGGGTGTCTTTAGCCTTCTATTTCATTCGGTGGTTACTTATCGGTGCACAGAGTTTTCTCGGTTAGCCACCGTCGGTTTCCGGTTATGGATATTGCCTGAAAATGGCAACGGACGCCGACACCGAACACAAATAATCGGTTTCGATTAAACCGACTAACCACGGATTTCGGTTCGGTTTTCGGTTTTCCCGAATAACCGGCGACCGATTAACACCCCTAGTTTTGAATACTAGTCTGTGCTATCTAGATACTTAGCAGACTTCGATATTAGTTTATACATTTTGGATATTAGTTAGTATATACTAACGAATCTTCAAGTTAGCAGAATAACTAGGCTGAGGAATGGCAATGGGGCAGGTACGGGGCGGGTATCTCAATACCCGTACCCGCCTCATGGCAGGTTGGGTAATTTATCACGGACGCGGATTGGGGCAGGTCGACCCAATGAGTATGTAATTTATGTGAAAAACATTAGAAATATTCGTTCTTTTCATTGAAAGGCCAAGAAAGAAACCATAATATGATAAATGTAGTTAAATTATTGAAGAAATTGAGATTTTCACTTATTTACAACTTTATTATAGCTAAACAATAATGTAATAAGAGGAAAATCTTAAGTAATTTGATTAAGATTATATGTAATTTAGGTAAGAACGAGTCGAGAATGGGGCGAGTCAGGGGCAGGTCGGGTTGGATCGATGAGAGATACCCATGCCCGCCCCGCCCCAAAACAGGTCAAACAGGTCGAGTAAATCGGGTCAGGTCGAAATTGCCATCCCTAATCAAATAGCGGTGGCAGGAGATACTGGTTGGACTTTGGAGGATTCAGTAGCTTCAAAATACCAAACTAATTATTTCAACAAGGTTAATATATTTGTGTGGCCTGAACTTTTCCAATATTTAACATTCTTGTCTATACTTTTGGTATTTAACCTTGAACTAACCATAAATTTTACTAATTTGGTCAAACCCGAGAGTTGACCGTTAGTTTTAACGGTCAACTCACCACGTTATTGCCCAATCAGCATAAATAAACTTAAAAATGATTTGGCAAGCAACAAATTCAGAAGAGTTTACTATGCACTCCATGTATCAATGCTTGGTGAAGGAGAGATACACTGTGAGGGAAGAATTCCCTTACAAACTAATTTGGCAGGGGCATATACCTTCCAAGGCGTGTACTTTCATGTGGATTCTGCAGCAAAAGAAGATACTAACGCATGATTCCTTGAAGAAGTGGGGATGGAGTATTCCTAACAAATGCGTTCTTTGCGGTACAAGTGAAGAAGACACCACACATATTTTCATCACCTACTCCTTTACACGCAAAATTTGGGAGACTATGCAGTACTTTGTGTGTGTTTGTCAGGTTCCGCCAGATATATCATAGACAATTCAGATCTGGCCATTCAGGAAACCAGCCAATCTAAAAGAATGGTGCACAAGATCTTTTCTCCACACGCTGTGCTGGTGTGGTTGGAGAGAAAGGAACTGCCGGATTTTCGAAGATAAAGCAACAACAGAAAATGTCGTTGCTTACAGAATTGGGATTCTGATCTCAAGATGGCTGGTTGTAGCAGACAAAGTCGAGAAGAGCGTTGCAGAACCTTGGTTGGAGTGCTTAAGGCGGAGAGCGATTGGCAGCCAGGGGCAAACCATCATCTGACCCCTCGAGTTTTCCTTTGGCTTTGCAGAGATGTCTCAGTGTTTGTCCTTTCCTTTCTAGATCCTATGTGTTACTCTTTGATTTTTCTAAATAAAATTTGTGTTGCCATTATAAAAAAACAAACTTAAAAAATTCTTAAATTTCACATAATTCCTACAATTTATTATATGATTGAATTAAAAATTAAAACAAAACTGGAAAGAAGATCGTAGGGAGACTTCGCCCAACCACTCCTCGACTATCCTTCTCCCTTCGAATCCGTCCGCCCTTTCCCCTCTTCCTCCACATCCACTATCGAAAACAAAAAGAGAACGACGATTAGGGAAGTTTCGGGTGGATTGGAGGATAGCTCTTTAGCATCAAGATCTGTTGGCCGCTTCATTTTCTCCAACGAGCCTGCCTTCAAGCCTGCCGCTCCCTGGGGTTCCACCCTGTTCTCCCCGACGGCGACGACAAAACCTCATTCGTCCTTGATTTCTCCAAAGTCGTTATCCCCAATCTCGCTCTCAAATCCGCTCCCCTTAACTTGTGCGATAGCCCCTCCATAAGCCCTCCTAAACCCCCTCAATTACTCAACGACGGAAACCATTATCAGGGCCCATGGACAAAATGGAGCATTTGATTGAAGAAACAGGGGAACCCCAATTTGAAGGAAAACATAAGAGCAATTGAAACAGGGGAAACCCGATTTGTAGAAAAAGGGAACCCCGATTTGGTGAACAGAGTAACCCAAACTCGCATTTGAACGAGCTCGGAGGAATTCATTAGTAGCTCCGCCGACATTACTTGGCCGCTTCATCAGTGTTGAGATCGAGTGTGGGGAGCGCTGGATGGGAATTAGGGTTTATGTTTCTCATTTTTTGTTATTTTTCATTTTAATTTTTGATTTAGTTATAATAATTTTTTGGGATAAGGTGGAATTTAGGAATTTTTTAAGTTTATTTATGCTAACTAAGCAATGATGTGGCGAGTTGACCGTTAGTCAACGGTTTTGACCGTAAAAGGTAACGGTTAACTGTTGTGTTTGGCCAAATTAATAAAGTGTAGTGTTAGTTCGGGCCACGATGTTAAATACATAAAAGATTGGTCAGGATGTTAAATGTGAGAAAAGTTCGGGCCAGGCAAATATTTTAACCCTTTCAACAAACAAAAAATGTTTTCCCATAAATATTTTATTTAAAAAAACTCCAAAATAACCAAATTTAAAAAATATTTTTCAATATACTATATAAATAAACAAAATGGGTCACATACACGCCCCAATTACACTTAGGGGTCGTTTGCTTGTGGGATTTGGGTGTTGTATTTGGCACCCAAATACCAAGCATTATGTATTTGATAAAAAAATATTGTTTGTTGAGGTATACAAATCCGTGGGGCCCACGTATTTCAAATACCAAATGAAATGTGGTATTTGCAAATATCACATTATGGAAGGCAAATTTTTGAGACCCAAATACCAAATGAACTAAATCCATGATAAAAACTCAACAAACAATGTTATCTTTCTTTTTTTTTGGTCGTACGGAAGGAAATTAATAAAG